CACACACACACACACACACACACACACACACACACACACACACACACACACACACACACTTTTCCCCTGGGACCACTGGTGCGGCTGCTGCTCCATGTCTAGGAGACGAAGGGAAAAGGAGAAGTGAAAGAAGAAGGAAAGATAAGCAGCTACTGAAGGATGGCCCATGACGAAATGATGCTCTGAGCAAAAAATATAAATAAGAAAAAAATCACCAGCTCTGCTGCTTTCTTCTTCATCCTCTTCCTCTGTCATCCTCCCCTCTCGCTCTCTGTCCCATCTTGAGTCTCACGTCAGGTATAGTGTAACTTTAGAAGGACAATAAACAGAAAGCTGACTACAGAACAAACCGATACTCGGAGCAAATAAATACACAGAAAGCTCAGCTGTCTTTGTCTCACACACACACACACACACACTTTGGATTTATCTTGCACAGATGCATGATGCACAGATACACGCTTTTCCTCATCACTGTCTGACTTTTGCATACACACACGCAGACAAAGACTTTTATTGCCCCGAGGCTTGAATTAGTGTCAATGTGTTTCAGATAAAAGCTTTAGTGTGTGCTGGACCCGTTAACTCCAAAATGCTGGTTAAAAAAGACAAAACAAAGTGAGGGTGAAAAGAAAGAGAGGTAGGGATAAATGGAGAGAGAGCAGAGGAGGTGGAAAACAGGATAAAGTGAGCCTTTCACATCTTTTTATTCGCTGCAGCGCCATCCCCAATTCTTCACGGTATACGTGAACGTCAGGAGGATGTGTGTGGAGGGGGAGAGAGACAGATAAAAGTAAATAGAGAAGGAGAGAGGGAGAAGGAGGAACTGGCGGTAGAGGGGTTAATGCAGTGCAGATTGACAGAAGTTAGCAGCACCCAGAGGGAAAGAGAGCAGAGAGAGAAGGGGGGGGACTGATATAAAATGAGTCGGTCACGCTTTGAACAGTTACACATGCTGTTTACATTTTTCCCAAATTAACATGGCCCCTCGCTTCACAAAACTCTCCCTCACCGGCTCCCTCGTGCTCCCCTCCACCGACCCCTTTTCCTCTTCCTCCTCTTCTTTCCCTCCGTCTATCCTTCAAGGCTCCAAAATATCTTCCTCACTTCCAGATCAAGACTTAAAAAAAAATTGCAGTAAAACAAACAAACAAACAAACAAAAATCTCTTTTATATCCTATCAAAGTAACCAAACGCCAAGTTTTAGTGTATGTGTAGCCAGTATTTTAAAGTTACAGCGGTTCTTTTAGGTTTTTGTCACATTGAGCGACTATTTAACAATGCGTCGTATAAGAGAAACGCATAAACACTTCAGCTGGAGTGAGTAATGCGCAAGGGAAGCCGAAGAATGAATATAACTGAGTAAAAGGTTCTTGACAAAGTGGCGTAAATTGGTGAATTTACACAGGCGCATACACACAGACACAAAAAACCCAGATGATACAAGAGTCAAACTGCTCAGAGCACAAGCGATAATGATAAGGACCCGTATTCCACCAGCACATGGGTGTTTCTTTAAAGAGAATCGGTGTATGAATCTAAAAGATAATATATAGGGACAGCTGTCCAATGGATAAATTAAAAGGTTGACCCTAAGCTGACCTTAAGGGTATAGAAAGTGTATAGAGGCACTTTCAGGAGGTCTGGAGCTATTACATATTTACATTATCGACAGTTGTGCCTTTTAATCTGTTAGTTATCTTCCGAAAGACGAAGGTAAGGACTGTAAATCCCTTGTTTTGCCGCTATTATTTTCCCTCTCCTGTGAGATGATAAAAAGTGGTGAAGCTGAAGAATTTAAGAAGCTGGAAGTACAGAATATTTTGCATTTTTTCCTTTGTATTGCCAATCCTTTTATACTCTTCAGTGCTACCTCGTATTTCGATAAACAGCTCCGTATTTTCCACCTCTGCTCTTCGGCTT